TCCTTTCCTATAATTTTTAATATTCTATTTAAAGTCATTCCATTATGATGGTCTTAGCATAACTGCAGTTTTTTGATCAGTATAAAAAATTCAGAAAGAATAAATATAGTATATCTACGGTAAAAAACAATATCTCCTTTGTTATTTCCAACCAATATAATTGCTTCAATAATTTATATAATATATAATACTCTATAATTTCCATAATCGCGTACTCTGTATTAGTTGCTTCTTGGCAATTACAATTTCCTACTAATAATTTAATAAACATTATTACTTTAGTTAAAATCTAAGGTGAAATAATTTGTAAAATCTGGTTCATATGGCACTGTTCAATCTAAGACTATGAACTTACTAAATATTTCATATCCAATGCCAAAGAAATGAATTTATGACACATGAAACAAAATTCTAAATGCTTAAATTCTTGTATTGTATTAATTTCTGGCACATCTCAGCTCGTTTTCGGCAATATTATTGTAGATATTACATTTTTCTTATTCATAATCATGAATATGGATATTATAAACTATATATTATTATTAATATTATTATTATTATTAATAATATTATTATTATATATTATTATTATTATTATATTATATTATTATAATATTGTTTAGGCTCTCTTAAACTAAATTCAAAGTTCAAGTGAATCGACATTTTTGGCAGATGACAATTCTCATGTATCAAAATTTTTCAATGTCAAACAATATATATATATGTTGTTTTTTGCAATTTTTACCATTTATTTCTACAATATTTCTATATTTTTATAATTCTCCACATTTTGAAAATTTTCCTCGACAAACTCAAAAAGATTTATTAAAATCCGAATAACCGTTTAGGAGGAGTATCAATACATACATCATTACAGAAGAATTTTATCTATAAGATATATATATATATATAGGAATATAAATGTTATCTGAAATCTTTCCTTATATAATTTGTTCAAGTATTTTAATAAATCCAGATACGGGGCAAAACGTGCCAAAAACGGTAACTCACTTTTTAAGAGAACGGAGCGTCCGATTTTAATAATTCAAAAAACATTTTACTTGTATTGACAAGATGAAGAATTGATCAAATTTTTATAAAGGCATATTATGAAATAATATTAACCAATTTTTAAAAATTAGAAACACTACTAGCAAAGGGTTTGCATTTCTTGGTGAATAATTAGAGAAAAATCCGTTTTGACTTGCAATATACCAAATACTTAGTATATTCACCTTATATTCTTTAAATCAAATTTATCACTATAAAGACGTAGATAAATGAATTCTAAAATGAAATGAATACTCTGTATTTCTCAACTCAGCGTTTTAAGCCTTTCCAGCATTAATGATTGTGACTCAGGACTATAAGAAAAATATGAAATTAAATTGAAAACTTTTTCTGCGAAATGAGGGGTGAATGTTTAATTTACGTTTCTTAATAAACCTCCTTTAATAAAGTATGCTCGAGATATAATGAATTTCAGTATTTGTATTAAACTCTTTGAATGGTTATATAAACAATTCCAAGATGAGGATATTATACGTATAAGCAATGAATTTGCAACAGATCGAAATAATTTGCAGACGAGAAGGACAAAATGAAGCGAGAAAAAATTTTGTCAATAGATTCAAGTTTTACAAAGTAAAAATGTTTAACTTAAGATTTAGCGGATAAAAATAAATATTGAGTGATATATAAAGCAGCCAAAATGTTTTGAAGTCTTTGAGATGTAAAGATACGCACAAATTTTTATTTTCGTTTTTTTTTTGCGATTACTATAACAACTCTACGTGAATATTACACCATAAATTGGAAAAATTATTGAAACATTTGAACACTACATATTTTTGAAATATAGCTATCATAATTATGAATCCGTAGATTGTGATACATTATATACTTTGTATATATTATTCATAGCAATCAGAACATAATAGTCCCATGAAACATCACCCTTTACTAGTTTTAGTACTAACATACTAAAAGAAATCAACGGTTGGCCTATCTCTCAAATTTAATATTAGAACTAGCTGTAAGTGGAATTCTGTGTTAAGGCAATTAAGGCATCTAGCCTTAAGGCAAATTGCTGGAACTTCCCGTACCAAAAATTATTATTTTTTTAAAAACAATTAAAATTTTTGAAAAAATTTTACTTCGAAAAAATTAAATTTTTGAGAAACTATAAATTTGACAAAAAATTACTTTTTAAATTTTTTTGAAAAGAAAAATGTTTTCTTCATTTTGACATATTTTGGAAATTCTGAACTTTTTTTCAAAGCAATCATATTGCTTGAACTGCATAGATATGAAATGTCAAAGCTCGCAAGTGCCGCGCCGCCGTCTAACGCATAAGCATTGGTACGGAACCCATGGAAATGTAAAAAAATATTATACTTATTGTTAAAATCTCTATAAAATATCTGATAAATTGATGTGCATATGTCTAATGATCATTTTTAACCGCCGAATGGCATTTTTTTACTTTTTTCATTAGATCTCCGAAACCGCTAGACCTGCCTTCATGATCAATTCTTCATCTTGTCAATACAAGTAAAATATTTTTTGAATTATTCAAATCGGACGCTCCGTTCTTTTAAAAATTTAGATACCGTTTTCGGCATTTTTTGCCCCGTATCTTCGGAACGACTAGACCTGCCTTTGCCAAAAACTAATCAGCACGTCTCCTTATCAATACAAATCGAATGTTTTTTGAATTATTCAAAGCAGTTGATCCGTGTTCCCGAAATCGTCGACGAAAATTTGTATCCGAACATACATACATACACGCACACACATACACACACACATACATCCATTTTTTTTAAGGTATGCCAAAATGTTCAGAAGGTTTTGAAACGTAAAGATATATAAACATTTTCATTTTCGATTTTTTTGTGATTACTATAACTTGCCCTACGGGAAGTTAATAAATATAATACCGATGAAATTTTATTGGGTCCAGAAATGCCAGGTAAGTGAAGCAATGGCCTCCTTAACTTGAAAACATATTGCTAACTATATTATCAATCGATCAAGTAAATCGATGTTGTCATTAGGCGTGTCAAACCTAGATTGGGAGCCCTTAGCTCTAACCACTATTTCATGGAAAAGCCTCATTCATAAAAATAAAAATAGTGTTACAATGAAACATTTATGCAAGCAACACAAAATTTCATTGACTCTTGTGTTATCTCACAATACAAAATCAGTACGAGAATGAAATTTCAAACTGCGAGTTCTTCTATTTTCTGTCATTTTATTTCTCTCCTTCGATCTGAATTAATGACCGTGGAGCTTTACGTGTCATCGGCAACGAACGCAATCTACGTAATGCATAAAATCGTTCTCTGAAAGAGTTCGCCGAAAGAACGGGGGGCCGAGGTCGTGGAACAAAGTATTTTATTTATGTACATCGGCCGTCGAGACGCGAAACACCGATATTACAGAATGGGGAAAAACGCAGCTACTTTATGACAGCGGAGATTGAAAACGGAAAAATAGTATGGGCCATGGGCATGGGACGAGGTATATTTATATAAATCTAAGCTGCTGAGAATTTCAATGAAGGCTAGTTATTTATTTATTTTGGGTAGGCAGGTCCAGTGGTTTTGGAGATCTAATGAAAAAAGTTAAAAGAAAACGTCACTTGATTATTAGACATATGTACAAATTGTGTTCAAAAAGTACTAGGATTTTTTAAATTTCTCTGGTCTGGAGAGTCCAATTATCAATTGCTTTTTTCACTTGGTATATATCCTTCTAATGAAATTATGATGAAATTTTCAACTGTATTCACTGTTTACTTTGTCTGTGATAGTCGCTAAGATTCGACGTGTTTTTATGGCTTGCGCCATCTTTCAATTAATTTTTATAATTAAACCACTTATCACAGGCCTATAATATTCCAAAGTATTCGGGTTGACTATCAACTCTATTACTATGCAAAGTTTCATCAAAATCCCAGTAGAGTAAACCTTTTAATAGGAATCGAATGTTTTTTGAGCCATTCAAATCGGTTGATTCGTGCGCCCTAAAAGATGAATGAAAAAATGCTGACATACAAAACACACACATTTTGCGGACATAAAAAACATTTTTTCTGAGGTATGTTAAAATGTTCAGAAACTTTCAAAACGTGAAGATATGCAAAAATTTTCATTTTCGATTTTTTGTCCATTACTATAACTACGCTACGGGAAGTTAAAAAATGGAAAAAATTGATATTTAGTGGTCCAAAATTATAATTAGACATATGTACATTAAATTATCAGATATTTTGTAGAAATTTTAATCATAAGTATAAATTTTGTTTACATTTCTATGGGTTCCATACCGATGTTTATGCGTCTAGGTCTAATTATTTCAAAATTATCAAAAATTTATTCTTTCAAAGTTTTCAGATATTTTCACAATCTAGCACATAGATAAACAAGTATAAGATCTAGCACCACTAGTAACGTATTATTTCATAGATTTTATTTTTCTAGTTATTATTGTATTTTTACTAAAATTAGGACGCTTTTAATACAAAATTTAGTTTTAAAAAGTTAAATTGTTTATTGTTGAAATTCATTGTTTTGTATTTCAAATTTTGCGCCGTTAATTTGAATGCGATACCAGCGCCATCACAGCTGAACGCCCGAACCTTGAATATAAAAATTGGGAGAAACAAAGTTCTATTTGAATATATTATATTCTATTATTGTCTAGGACTCTATTATATTGTATTTGCTAATGTTATTAGCAAAAGCATATAACAAGGTAAATAACTATGCGAATAGTTCAAGTCTATGGAGCACCAACACCAGGAAAACAAAATTTATCAAAAGAAAAAAAAAGGATGTGCAAGTAATAGCTAATCTTTGACTTGCGCTTATTTCATGTTGTACAGATCAGAAACATTAAGTAGTTTTGCTAGCCACGAACTGGTTCATATCAGGTTTTAAATACTTTTTATGTGAATGATATTGTGTGTTATAATATTCATACTTTATGCAATGGCTCAGGAGACTCCAGTTTCAACTTTAATGAATCTTTGCGCAGCGAAAAAAGTGCCATGTCCCAAATTCACTTTGATTCACGACGGAACAGCCACTATAAATCCCATCTTTAAATATGAAGTGTGCCTGGTGGTAAACGAGACTGAAATAAGAGCTATCGGTACCGGTTCTTCAAAGAAAATGGCTAAGCATGATTGTTCAAGATTGGCACTTAAGAAAATATCAGAAATGAACCCAATTCAGCCACACGTTTTAGAGGTTATAGAAACCGATGCAGGGAAACCTTCTACAAGAGTTCATGAATCAGTACAGGAGCTTATCGATTTTTGTCGTAAAAGAGGTTTACCAATACCTGAATATACTTTGATTGGTGATATAGGACCAGCTCATGCTAAACAATTTACTATGCAATGCGCTGTGTCTACTTTTAAGGAAACTGCCACTGCCTTTTCCAAGAAATCTGCTAAGCATTTATCAGCTAAAAAAATGATGAAAATGTTGCAGGGTATAGATCTTGATGAGCATATCAAAAAGCATGTTAAAGGAAAATCAATGAATGAAGTGGCGTTTGCCAAAATCATTAAAGCAAGGACAAAATTCTATAACCCGATTGTAGTAGATAGAATGGCGGATTATGATTGTCCTTTTAAGAAATGTGGCGAGGAAAATTGTAAAAAAGCGTTATCCATTTTGAATGACCAGTGTTTAGGAGCAGAAGAAAAAATGAATGCCGCTATAAATACTTTGAATGTAGATTACGAAATCAGAGAAATGCCAACAACAAAAAATAGCGTAATCTATACATTAACAATATGTGGAATGGAGCCCGAAATTATCGTTAGCGATTATACGTTGCCAGAATTATACGAAAGAACAAATAAATATCTGAAAGTATTCTTGGAGTGAATGTTATTGTTAATATATAACTCTAATAATATCACTTTTATTATATGAATAAATTACATAAATTAAAAATATTGCATTTTTCTTAAATGTGTGTGCGAACGTAATAACTAAATATACATTATATATAGATAAGATAAAATTTAGCAAAAAAATATTTATATTAATTATTATAAATATTAAAAATAACTTAATTTATTGGTTAGCCTATAAACATAATATTGTAATAATAATGAATAGTAACAAATATTCATTAAGTCTCACAACGTAAACAACTTAGTCTATCAGAATTGAGATATTTAGATATATTTTATAAATACGATTTCCAATTCAAACATACATATAATATCTGTAATTGAATAAATTAAATTAACACATTTTATTTCATCTGGATCATTTTTAAAAGATGTTTTTATTTGAGTGTGGACGTCAACTGTAATCAGTGGTTCATACAAAACTCAGAACGTACATATTATATATATATATATATATATATATATATATACAAATAAAATTGTTCTTTGGCGTCCTTCCATTAATTAAAACTTTTTCTTCCAAACAAATAACATGTTTCGATGAGCTCTTTTTTTAAAACCTTTTTATTCATTTTATGTTAATTTAATATTTATTTTAATTTAATAGTTTTTGTGCTTTGAAAATTGTATAGTAATTGTTGCATTATATTGTCCGTGTTTTTTTTTCTTCATATTATTTATATGCACTGAAGATGGGTCAAATTAGGACCCGAAACGTTTGATAATAAAACATTTTACTTCAATAAAATAGTTTTAATTAATGGATCGACTCCCAAAAACAATTTTATTATAATATTTCACCATCTGAAAAAACCTCTCAATGTATATATATATATATATATATATATATATATATATATAATATCAAATGTATATAAAATATAAGCACGGCATAAATTTATAGACATTTAATTTTTATAATTTTACCGCTTATATTATTTTTTATTGTGTTATTTCAGACTACAAAATCTACGTCATAAAAAGTTCAACATTTAATTACGAAAAACGGACTGGCAGATCTTTAGCAAAAACTAATCCATTTTCGAATATGTGCTAGAACGTGGATAAAATTTTTCACTTTGGAGTTATTTCGAATGACTTTCAAATTTTTAAAATCGTTTCGTCAAAACAAGCAGAAGTTTTTTGAATCATTCAAATCGGATGCTCTCAAAAACTGCAATTTTTTGCACATTCAGCTCCGTATCTTCGAAACGGCTGGGCCTGCTTTTGCCAAAAATTAATCACCACTTTTCTTTATCATTACAAAATGAATGTTTTTTTAATCATTCGAATTGGATGCTTCGTTCTCTCCAAATTTTGATTTCTTTTTTCTGCACTCTCCCAAAAACTAATCAAAGAATCGAATCGAAATCGAATCGAAATCGAAATGAAAAAGAATCGAATGTTTTTGGAATTATTCAAATCGGTTGATTGTGTGTCTGAAAACGTGGACGAAAAATTGTATCTATACATATTATATGGTACGGTATACCAAAATGTTCAGAAACCTTCAAAAAGTTGAGAAATTAAAAAAAATCAATTTGGGTTTATGGACGATTACAATAACTTGCCCTACGGGAAGTTAAAAATTATAAAATGCCATAATCTCGCGGTTTTATGAAATGTTTATTTTTATTGCTGCATATTAGTTATATGTTAAGCTATTTTTTATTCTAAAATGGATCTAAATTGAGTGTATAAATTTATACAGCTTTAATAATATTTGTTTTAAAATTCATTAATATTTTACAATATATATATATATATATATATATATATATATATATATATATATATATCATATGTATATATGGTAGGCTTTGCTCAGATGTTCTACTATACGATTGTACTCATATAAGGCCGAGTCCGTACATAGAACAACGTCCACTGCTCAGTAGCGAAACTTGCGCCCCCTTTCTCTCGCAACTTCAACCCTTTAGCATGCAAAATACTCGTCCCGCGCCGCGCTACCCCTCACGGCTCTTCGGACTTTCCGCTACACCCCCGACTTACCCCTTCGTCGACGAATCCGTTTGAGAAACGGAAAGTGAAGTGAAAGCGGAAAGGGAGAGTTTGGTCCGGCGGACGATGCTGACGCTCTTATTCAAAATCAGGGCTGTATCGAGAATAGAATTTGTAATACCTATCAAACATAATATATTATTATGGTAATACAGATTTATATGAGTTATGTACATACGAGAAAGTATAGTCTTAAATGCTTCAATATTATGAACATGTATTAATGTTATACGACAGACGGTTTCGTTATTATTAGTAAGTAATTTAGAATGGTAAATGGTAAATGGTTTAGAATGGTAATTTAGAAAATCATCTTTAAGGGGAGAGCCTGCTTTTGAGGCTTAAAAAAAATCGTTATTTTTTTTAAAAAAATATCTTTCAAACCCAGCCAAGAATATATCCCTAAAATTTCAGAAACAATTTCAAATTATTTTCGGAATTACAGAAGAAATAATAAGGGATTATTCCTAATTGTCGGGAAAGATAGGAAAAAAACTAAACGTCCTATTAAAACGAGACAAAGTTTATGGTATTCAGGATTAAATTCTATTCTAGTTGTACCTAAAAAAACTTAAAAAAAGTTATGATTAACCCACTTTTTAAACAATCTAAAGTGAAATTTTGTATCAAAAAACATGATTTTTTTCCAAGTTTCGAAAAATTGGTGTATTTCTCATTTTTATTCTGAATTTTTCAGGTTCAACTAGAATCTATACCATTCCAAATATATATTTGTTTTGATTTATGTGCTTCGGATGGAAATTGTATCTTTCCCGCCAAATGACACCTGTACGCTCGTGGCGCCTCGGCAAAATGCATGTACCAGGCATATTAAGCCATATATTTTACTGAAAAAATTTGAAAAGAATATTGAACGATGTAACAAAAAAATCTGAAACTTTCGTTTCAATTAAATATTTCTTTCCTTTCCTAAAAATTCCTCAAAAAGCGATTTTTTTGAAGAGTCTAAAGCAGGCTCTCCCCTTCTTAAGTTGCTGTCTTTAAGACTGCCTATTACATTACTTACCAATCATCATATTTACATTTTACCTAAATTTTCTAAAGAAAAACAAAATTAGTTACTAAAAATACGTAATGTTTGATGGGGGAGGGGAATAATTCTAAATATCACTACGTATCACCAAGGGGAGGGGGGGCGGTCAAAATCCCTAAAAAATTTATTACGTGACCTGCATTTTGTTGGGTCGAGTTAAGAAAACTTAATTTCTTAGAAAGACGAGTAAATGATTGAGAAACTATTTATGGACGGATGCATTACAATATGAGAGATCATTTGATACTTCGAAATAATGCAATAAAATATTTCAGGTTTTATTATTTCTCTTTTCTTTAGTATGAAGAGTATTAATGTATATTTTTATAATTTGGCATCAGATAATCAGATTTTTGGGGCTAATTCTTCGATAAGGTAGAAATGATATAGCCACACCATGTTATGGTAGTAACAACTGTCAAAAAGCTCTGTATTTGCTGTGCGATCAGACTGGTTAATAACCAGTCATGTTTATTAATATTTATATTTGTTAATATGGTTTACTTTTATGTATTTTACTCTTTCCTTTTTATAATTTAGTTGTTTTTGATGTGATTAATAATATTTTTTTAATAATATATTTCAATAATAATTTATAAAAAATAGAATAATAATAACCTTCCCATAGGGTAAGTTATAGTAATTCTATGACAGGTTTATTTAATACGCAAGAAGTCATATCATGTTTTGAAATAAGCAGATTTTCATTATGTTGTGCACTTTCAACAACTCGAACATGTTTAATAGTCCAGTCATTTAAGCTTAAAGTAGGTAAGAATCTAGTAATTCGTGATACCCAGCTGTAAGTCTGTAAATACTCTGTAAATACACCCAAATTTTTGTCTCAAAACCTACATATAGTACGTACACTCTACCATATGTAGGTTTTGAAATAACTTTTAGGGAGTATTTACCGTCTTACAGCTGGGTATCTCTTATTCCGAGGTGGACTTACTATAATGACTGGACTATAATCATAGATCTCGGCTAGATACTTGTTTAATAAAAATTTGTTCAAATAAATTTTTAATATATATCATTTTAAATCCATCACTGTCTCCAGTCATCCCGTTCGCACGCGCTACGAGATGCCGAGATCGGGTCGATACTTTAGAGAGATGTAAATGTCCACCTCGCATCTACGACGGCGGACATGCCGTACGATACGATAGCCCACACCACCAGTCCATCGCAACGGGCTGCGGGCTGCGGGCTTAGCGGCCAACGCAACTCCCCAAGTGCGCACGTACGCGCACGCATAAGTAACTATGCAAGCACACACGGAACATTTACATCATATGAGGCCATTCGGATGGCTAAGGCTATTACATATCGCGATTCTGGATTTTGAGATATTCTACTATAAAATGGGCAACTAGAATTAATAACATCGAAAGGATATGAGAGAGAGGGTATTAAGAAAGTTGACACAGTCGATTACCTAATCTTCATATTTACAAGCGAGACAGCGCTAAACGATCTTAACATGTAACTATAGTGGTGCATGGCATTGTGCCTTAAGGCAAATTACAGAAACTTTCCGTTCCATAATATTTTGATTTATTTTGAAAATATTGATATTTTTACTTTCTTAATTTCTCAAAGCGTAGCTTTTCCAGAGACGAAATATTAAAGCGCATAGGCGTTGCATTGCAATCTACCAGTTAAATATTATTGACATTGGTACCGAACCCAGAGAAATGTAGACAAAATTTGTACAAAATGTGTGTATCAATCTCTTAATATCTCTCGCAGAATCTGCCTTTCTAATATTTTAATCATATTTTCATTCCGTCAATGCAAGCAAAATGTTTTTTGAATCATACAAATCGGGCACTCCGTTTGCTCAAACACTTTGCAACAAATTGCTATTTTTGGCACTTTTTTCTTGG